TTATGGAGTTTTTATATTGTTAACTTAGTTTTTATGTTGTTAACCTATGGAGTTTTTATATTGTTAACCTATGGAGTTTTTATATTGTTAACTTAGTTTTTATATTGTTAACCTATGGAGTTTTTATATTGTTAACCTATGGAGTTTTTATATTGTTAACCTATGGAGTTTTTATATTGTTAACTTATGGAGATTTTATATTGCTATCTTACAGAGTTTTTATATTGTTAACTTAGAGAGTTTTTATATTGTTAACTTTTGGAGTTTTTATATTGTTAACTTATGGAGTTTTTGTAACATTAACTGAGTGAGTGAGGGGGTTTTTATATTGTTAACTTAGGGAGTTTTTATATTGTTAACTTAGTTTTTATATTGTTAACCTATGGAGTTTTTATATTGTTAACCTATGGAGTTTTTATATTGTTAACCTATGGAGTTTTTATATTGTTAACCTATGGAGTTTTTATATTGTTAACTTAGGGAGTTTTTATATTGTTAACTTATGGAGTTTTTATATTGTTAACTTATGAAGTTTTTATATTGTTAACTTATGGAGTTTTTAATTTATAAAACTTCTTGATTAGAGACATCATGGAAAGTTAAGTGTTTGTGGAATTGCAGGAACTACAGACAACTGATTGAAAATTGGAAGTTTACAATATAAAGATTTAATTATATTATACAGTACCCCAATAAGATTAAGGACAGTAGGGGATGTAAAACTCTTCTCTTATCTTATTTGTCTTTATAGGTATGTAAGAACAGACAGTGGGTTTCTGTATGTAGAGAAGTCACTAATTCTCAGATGGTGGGTGGAGCCTCAGTCAGACTGAAAGCTTTTTATGAAAAGTAAGTTCTTCTTTAATCATTAAAGGGGCATTACTACTGACGACTATTAATATATATTCAAGACCCAAATGAACCCCAGAAAATGGTGATTCTGTCCTTTTAAAAGAAAATATTGTGCTAATCACCTTACCTTCATATTAAATTACCTTTACGACCTCTATTAATCAGTGTTGGGCATCACCGTAACTTTCGTTATGTAAGTATCACGTGACATTGTGACCCTTGAACTTTAAATGGCCGACGAGATATCAGTTTTGTTAAAAAAAATCTTTGATGGAACTGCAGACATGACATAAATGGTGTTGGTTGATTATGATGGAATGACTGAACTACAAAAATAATCTTCCAATTTAGATAAAAAAAAGTTTAAAAGGCAAGGCCTTCTTTTTCTGTCTCTACCTACACCGGCTGACAACTTTCAAAATATCTATCAGAGACTGGAATAGAGGCAGATGTTTCGGACTACCTGGAAATCTAATCTTTGATTTTCAGGTATTTGTATCCGTATGAGTTATTTATAAAGGGTGGAGATTACACTTCCTATATCAGTAGTAGTACCACAAAGAAACCAGGCCCTAAAAAGAAAACTGCTGTTTTTACACCAGAAGACAAATCTACCAATAATCATGTAGTGGACAAGTTGGATCCAGTGGAAGATGTTGAAAAAGGAACAGAAGATTTTGATTGTAAGTTAATTTATCCTTAAAGATGGGTTCCCTTATTTTCATTTATGAAAATGAAAATGCTACTAATATGAATAGAAAGTAGAGGTGTTGTAATGACTTGCAAAAATATCAGTTTGTCTCACATTTCCATGATTGATTCATAATTAGCTATATTATAAGAGAATTACCTGCAGAATTCCAATGAGTGACCGATCAAGAAAGGTCAAAAAGTCTTTTTTTGTTTATCCAGACTGTAAATACTTGGAAATTTATGATTGGTTGAAACTCTTGATCATATGCAATAAGAACAAAATTATATGAGTAAGAATACCTGACAATTCATTACAAACACTAATTAATCAAATAATTTGCTTAATTTGACATTAAAAAATAAAGAAACCCATCTTTAAAGGGACTGCTTCTCCATTCATTTAACCAATTGGATCTTAGTATCAGAAAAAAGGAATTTTTTAGCTAAGCTAATCAATGATAATTTATATAGCTAACTTTCGAAATTTGGGGCTTCAAATTCATGTGTGTCACAGGTGCAGC